AGCCGTTTTAATAATCCAAAACAAGATACGTGATTTTATAATACTTATGGAGATGCAAATTACAATTTAAAATATATTTTTTGGCTTAAGAATGTTCAATAATACAAGAAACAATAAGAACGAGATATGAAGTAAATTAAATTATTAACCGAGCTAAGTAAAATAAACACATAACAATCGTAGCATTTTACAAATACTATTAACTAAAATATATTTAGTTGTACATGTATTTTTTAAGGAAAGATTACAAAGAGATAGAAACCATCTGAACTATGCGTAAACTAAGATTTTTCAAATAATTACCTGTAGTAAATCAGGAATACTCCGTGTTTCAAGTAAAGCTGCGTTAGTTAACTCTAGAAGAAAAAAAAACACATTAAGCAATTAAGTATTAGAACCATTTTATATGTTTATTTTGAGAAGAACAAATCATATGTTAAGAAAATCGTATAAAAAACAACCAATTTAATCGAGCTATATTTTAATAAAGTCAGCAACTGACTATGAGAAGTACCTTGATTAATATTATAATTTAAGAGCATAACAAAAAGTGAAACAATTCATGTACGTGAGAAAGCAATTTGAGATAAAAGAACAAAGAATAATTTAATATAAATACTATTAACTAAAATATATTTAGTTGTACATGTATTTTTTAAGGAAAGATTACAAAGAGATAGAAACCATCTGAACTATGCGTAAACTAAGATTTTTCAAATAATTACCTGTAGTAAATCAGGAATACTCCGTGTTTCAAGTAAAGCTGCGTTAGTTAACTCTAGAAGAAAAAAAAACACATTAAGCAATTAAGTATTAGAACCATTTTATATGTTTATTTTGAGAAGAACAAATCATATGTTAAGAAAATCGTATAAAAAACAACCAATTTAATCGAGCTATATTTTAATAAAGTCAGCAACTGACTATGAGAAGTACCTTGATTAATATTATAATTTAAGAGCGTAACAAAAAGTGAAACAATTCATGTACGTGAGAAAGCAATTTGAGATAAAAGAACAAAGAATAATTTAATATAAATACTATTAACTAAAATATATTTAGTTGTACATGTATTTTTTAAGGAAAGATTACAAAGAGATAGAAACCATCTGAACTATGCGTAAACTAAGATTTTTCAAATAATTACCTGTAGTAAATCAGGAATACTCCGTGTTTCAAGTAAAGCTGCGTTAGTTAACTCTAGAAGAAAAAAAAACACATTAAGCAATTAAGTATTAGAACCATTTTATATGTTTATTTTGAGAAGAACAAGTCATATGTTAAGAAAATCGTATAAAAAACAACCAATTTAATCGAGCTATATTTTAATAAAGTCGCCAACTGACTATGAGAAGTACCTTGATTAATATTATAATTTAAGAGCGTAACAAAAAGTGAGTCAATTCATGTACGTGAGAAAGCAATTTGAGATAAAAGAACAAAGAATAATTTAATATAAATACTATTAACTAAAATATATTTAGTTGTACATGTATTTTTTAAGGAAAGATTACAAAGAGATAGAAACCATCTGAACTATGCGTAAACTAAGATTTTTCAAATAATTACCTGTAGTAAATCAGGAATACTCCGTGTTTCAAGTAAAGCTGCGTTAGTTAACTCTAGAAGAAAAAAAAACACATTAAGCAATTAAGTATTAGAACCATTTTATATGTTTATTTTGAGAAGAACAAGTCATATGTTAAGAAAATCGTATAAAAAACAACCAATTTAATCGAGCTATATTTTAATAAAGTCGCCAACTGACTATGAGAAGTACCTTGATTAATATTATAATTTAAGAGCGTAACAAAAAGTGAGTCAATTCATGTACGTGAGAAAGCAATTTGAGATAAAAGAACAAAGAATAATTTAATATAAAAATTGTTAAGTAAAATATATAGTTTTCTATTATGATTATTAGAATGTGAAGAAATTTTTACGTATGTCAATAAAGCAATCCTCAATAAAAAACAAAGTATAATTTTAGGCAATCACATTTTACCTTTTATAATCCAAACAAGTTAATAATTAATGTATTAGAGTCATATTTAGATATCTCGTTTTGTGAAGAACAATTTATACGTTTATACATTGTTAGTTAAGGAAATCGGTAAACATTTTTTCAATCTTAAAAATGTTTAGTTATTCAGTTTAATCAGTCCATATTTTAACAAATACAAAAACAACAAAAGGTAATTAATATTATCATTAGGACTACAACAAAATATGAGGTGAACTTGAATAAACATACATTTATTTTGGCAAGGACAATGTACATTATAAGATATTTTTTTATCCTAAATCATTTATTTTTTATTATAATATAATGATTTGAGGTAAATGATATAGTTTTTTGTTTGTATATATCACAAGAAAGATTATTTGCGGTTTACATAACATCTGTTACAAAATGTGAGACATTAAATACGTATAGTGATTTAGCGATATTGGAATACCAATTTTCTTAAAAACATAAAACCATTGACTATACACAGAATAGACTTCCCAAGTAATGTAAAAATTTGAAGCAAAAAAGAAACGTAGTGCAATCTGTTAAGTGATAAATCAATCAGCTGTTTGCTATGTACTGCATTAGTTTTAATTAATAGTCAACAAAATACACTAGTAAACTCTAGTGAGATTGGCCTCAAATTTTTATATCACGTGAAAAGACTAAAAACTCACTGCCAATACCTAAACTATTTCTAATCGAAAGCCGTTTTATTCTGTAGAAAATTATTATAAAATAGGCGGTAAAAATGGTTGTAACGTATATTGTTGTATTCATACAGCAAAAGAATTTTTGAGTTAAGATAAGTGTTTTGTAAGTGCAGATTTACCGAAATATTTATTTATAGTCTTGTAAAGTTTTCATATAATTAGGATTATATTTGAAAGATAAGTTAGTTTCGTTTTTATACTATGAGAAAGGTTGTATTTAAATGATTAGACAAAATAGTGGTAGGATCTTTTATACAAATAGTTGAGCTAATTTAAGTAATGATTAAGGAATGAGCTTCTTATAAATAAATAGTAAAAGCTAATATATATTAGGATACTATATGTATATGACAAGAAAAATTAATTACCTGTATATTTAGGGAATATTCCACAAATCACAATGGGACGACGTGTATCACAAACTGGAAACACTTAAACTTAAAATACAACAGGGAAATATAATTAAAACTCTGGAAATTACAAAATGTGACAGGATAAAATTGCTTGACACAAAGCAGTACGCAATACGAATGAAGCGTGTCTAGTTTGCGCGACAAACAACAATCTTGAACACAATGCAGAAACAATAATAGGTTAACTTACCTCCTACATAGATAAAATAATCCATTAACAAAAAGCCGTAACACCGCTAAGCGTAATCAGTGACGCTAGAAAAAGTAAAGCAATAACAGTTAATCACATGTCGGTCCCCCGCGAGAACGAGTAGGCCTAGTTATTTATAGGCACACACATGCGAACACTCACATCTGTTGTCGTTCCGTGAGAATCATCTCTCGGAAGATTGAAACGTCTCTGTGCAAACATTTAGAATTTCTGTAAACACTATATAAGTGTTAACAGAGTAAACTACAGATCATTTGACTCTTAGCTACCGTCAGGAAAACATGTCTGCAAGAAATTCAGCTCCTATTCAAGACCCCAAAATATCTTCAACATCGAATATCTCAAATAATAATATTCAAGAACAAAACACTCAAGAACAAAACACTCAAGAACAAAACGCAGTAGACGTAACTATGTCACCGATACAGAACTCACAAGTATCTAGTACCTCGTACTTTCTCCGCCCAGAGTTCGAAGATTATATGAGACAGCTAGTTGATGGATAGTTAAATGGAACAATACATATTTTTACAATCCAGTACATGGTATATTTGAAACATTAAAGCTGAACATTTAAAAAAACACATTCAGACAACCTTGACCTAATAACAATACCAACCAATCCACAACATACATCGCCAGAGTCGCTGCGTAATTCACGCTGCTCCACAATCACAAAATACTTACCAATTACCTAATTATGACGTCACGGGATCACCCCCGTGTTTTATACTACTTATATGTGGTTTGGTTTTAATATAATTTTGCAGGATCATGTACGAAATAAACACTGCACCTTAATGTAATGGTGTGGTTGGTAATTTAAAATAAATTAAATATCAAACTTTGATATGATGCTTAATAACCTTTTTGATTTCACTAGGCAAAATTATTGTCTTCCATCAATTAACTGATATCACAACTTTAATGGTAAAAAATGTACGTACTAAACACTTATCTGTTAATAGCATTTCCACGTTTAATACCATGAACATCAAAATCAGCGATTGGACAAGTTCGTTTTAGTAGGAACGAACAAGGCAGAAACAAGTTACGTCTAGATCAAGTATCCAACGCAATTATATGCATTGCTGCATAATGAATTTCGTTACTAAGGAATTTTATCAAACGTTTCTTCGTAATTTCTTTCAATTAATACATACAATTAATTATAATACATTCTAAAACAATACTCATTACCAATACTCATTCTAAAACATACACACGGTTATTCGTAACATATTGCATAAAACTTATTGTGTCCTTTCAATGGTTTTAAAGGGTGGTATTTGTTTTAGGCCCATGGACATTGAAATAATTAAACATAAGTTACCTTAGTATTATCATAGACTAACCAACGGTACTAGGCTACTCAGTTGTTTTCATTAAAATTAGCCTCTGGACCACACTTGGAGAATAAAAAGTTTAAAATAACTCTAGTTCCATGAAGTAAACCTTTTATTTTGTTTACGATCAACTGGATTACTTGACAGTACATTTTGTTACGTAAAGACATTTTTAAAGGTTATTTTTTGTCATAACCAATTTTATTCCAATGTATCGTTGAATACAAATATATTATAAATAATTTTGTTTCTCTCTGATTTGCTGTATCTATCTCAGTCTTCGTAACCACTTGGGACATGTTTCAGTTGACAGAGCACGTCAGTCGTTCCGGCAATCCCTCAGGATGCCTCGTATCCCGGGGAGAGGTCCTAGGGGACTCAGGTTCTCCCAGTCCCACACCCTGACGTCCCCGACAGCCGAGGAAGGGGATGAAGAGGACCCACTCAGGGTCCGCGCGTCCGAGCAACGGTTTGTACTCATTACATACAGTAGCTACTGCAGGTTTTGATAATAAAAAAAAACTATACGTTATATAACTATACTCTAACTATATATAACTAGTTTAATTGAGTTAGGCTTATCGACAGAGTGTAATAATGACAAATATCGGTTTTTGTCTCCGCCTTCAAATCAAGCATAATTGAAGGGGCAACTTATTTTACACAATAACACCATTTGTGATATTATAAACCACAGTAACAACAACACATCAACTTAGGGAGATGATATAATACAAAAGCACACTACTTAGGTGATTATTCAGTACATTATGTTTATCCAGTCTTTCAGTGTATGGACATATAAAGGATCATCATATTGGAGCCTCCAATAACATAACAACAGAGCAATATATTATACCTGTGATAATACGTTTTATATATTTTGGGGGACAATTTCATCATTTAAACCACTATTCGATTTTAAAATATGAGTATATAATTTGGCTGAAAAAGAAGAATTTTGTTTTTGAGGATAATGTATTCTCATCGTTGAAATAAAATTGTTTGGTAATCACACAGTAATCGGTTATGTAGATGAAATAATGAAGCCATGAGAACGTTAATCAACCAACTCCTGATAACACACAGTTTTAAAATCCCAGACTAATGATTTTTTAATGAAGTAACATGCTCGCTGAGTAGCTCTTATCTAAGTACTCCCTTAGGTCAAAAATATAAAGAGAACCCAAGAATGGTAGGATTGCCAAATCGCACATTATAGAGAAAATGTCAAGTCTATTAACACTATGTGTAGATTAGAAGATTATAGCCTAGAGATTTGGCACTCGATAGAAACACTTTTATTTGGACTTCTAGGCAGTCAAGTGAGGGATAAAAGTCAACCCCCAATTAAAGTCACACTTCGATTAAAGTATACTATAGCAATATAAAACTTACTAGGAATCATATTTTATTGTAGTGGTTGTTACTGCATGACATGGTATTGTTTCTCATTGTACAATATACGCATAGTATGATTTCGCTATTAAATGTATTTTCGTAAGGGTATGTATTTTGAGTTAAGCTAAGGGTAGATGCGTGCGCAGCCCCTAGAATGCCGCCACTTATATATCCTTAACGTCGCCACCGCCCCCGTGTTTTCCTCTTTCGGTCTGTCTGTTTGTTAACTTTTTCCGTTGTTATACGTTTAGTGATGTTGATTATTGAAGAACCAATCTTCGTGATATGCTCACAGATGGACCCTGGTGAAGTACATGTTTTTTTTTAATTTCTCTAATTTATCGTAAAATAGTTATTGTCATTCTTCGTGTGACTTCGGTTTGGGAAATGTATACTGTGAGGATTATTTCGCCAAACAACATTGGATATATATTTTTATCTAGAAATTTGATTATTTAACAAACTTGTCTACATTTGAAATGACTTAAATACAAAGAATGCCGTGTATCGCTCTACCATTCTTCAAAAACCCCAATCCGCTTCCCAATAAAAAGCTATTGTGTTATCTGTAGTTTGTGTTTTCCTATGTTGTTGTTTGAGATGAGACTTGGTTGGTGTAACATTTGAAAGGGTGTAAATAACCATCTTATTGAAACAGTTCTCTGTTTTTTTTTTATTCTACATTTCAATTCAACCCAAACAAATACATTATTTATTGTTCCTCCTAGCTATCTATATTTGACAACTGTAACTGTTTTCACAGAAAAGGAAAACCATGGTACAATTTTGTATTTTGAGTATAAAATATGGAAACAAATAAGATCAAATATAATATACTAAATATTTTTTCCATTTATTATAAGGATCTGTTGTAAATAATTGTTCTAATAGTTGATTTTGTCATTTTGTTTTTGTAAAAATATGATGAGCGTAAATTTATTTCGACTTCTTGGGATATTAAATTTTATTCAATGAAATATTTTCTTTCAATCGGTAAGAACTGGCCTTCCTGTTTGTATAATATACAATTTTTAACCATTAATGTTTTTGTTTGTTTGTTGTCGGTCATTGTTAGATATTTTTTGTATCAAGCCAAAAGAGTTCTATCTCGTTCAACAACTAATTTTTAATTATCTAATATGTTTTTCAAGGGTTTATTAGTTGAATAATTTATTGGGGATATATAAAGTAATTTTCTTTTTATTAATTTTTTCTTTATTAAGTTGTTGACCGTCTTGTCGAAGAGGTTAGCGTCCTCTTTTACCTTGCATTTTCCCGTCATGGGCCACAGAAAAATGTTTGACAAGGCAAAGCAATGCTTAATATTTAGCCATTATTTATAACTACGTTTCGGGTAATATTTATTTTTATTCTATTCTTGATCGTCAAGAATTCTGATAATCAATGAGTTAAAACTTGATTCGTAAGAGTTTACCTTCCGTATTACTTAACTTTATACTTGTACCTAAAGGGTTAAATACGTGGTTGCTAAAGCAAACTTTGGTTGTCTAAATAATTAACGGACTCAACCTAAGGGATCAGAGGTTGTCAAAAAGTCGAAAAACAACAAAAGATCCTCGACAAACATGTTTACGAAAAACACTGCGGACATCTGAACTGAATATCACGGTGCTGGTTTAAAGTGGAGGTCAAGACCATTCATCCGACTTAGGGATTACTTTTGCAACCAGGAATTAAACGTTTTGTATGATATTGTTCAAACTTGCCATTTTATTTTATCATTGAGTGATGAAATGTATTGATATAAAATGTCTGGTGGACTCTTTATAATTTCCTAGGAATGAATTGAAAAACTACTGTACATTATTTTAATCAAATACTGAGAGTCCATTATTATCTGTTACTCTTAATATCTTAAAGTTTTATTCAAAAGGCTATGTTAAATTGACTCTAATTTTACTCTATGATAAGCCAGTTAAAGTTCATTTAGAAGTGTTGTTTGTTAAGAAACAATAAACGCACAACACCGCATTACGAATAATAATGATTAAGTTGGTTAGACTGAGTTGATTCCAATCCCAAATACCAACAGAAAGTTGTTATTTTGATTTTTTATATATATAAGTTAATGGAAAAATAATCAAAAATATTTTTACCTACGACCGTTTTTTAAAGTAGCCATTTCAGTTAAGTTCTTAGAATTGAAAAGTTTCACTTAACTGCTGTTTACTTTCATAACAGCATAGTTTCATTTTATAACAGCATAGTTTTTCTCATTACAACACAGGTAACGGACCAATGAGGTTCAAGGATTGAGAGAACTAAGTAAAATAGTAATGTTTCGAACGTCAACTAATCAGCTGATCAGCTGATCAATTGGCAATTTCAATTGTTGATCCGACTTGTTCCTGTTGATACTCGCGTATTCTTAACCTAAGTTAGTGGAAGAAAAGAAGGTAGATTAAACTGATGTTAAATGTCAGTTAGTGAAAGCGAAGTTGACGAGATGGAAGTGATGAAACCCTCTTAACAAATTTTTCACCTAACTCGTTGTGGACCACATATTCGATGCTGAAATCTAACTGTATATTAACTGTTTCACTATATTATTCAGTCGTCCAAAATAATATGCAATATTTCCCTAATTGTACCTGATATTTATAGTAAGAATGCTGCTAGCAGAACCTATTCACTGAAAAAGGTAACGTATTATTTAACGAAGTTTTACAAACACGTAATTACATGAAATCAGCTGATTATACAATAAGTCGTTGCATCACTTTTAGTGGGAATGACAATAAACGAAAACATAACCTCTCTAAGAAGTTATGAGTTGTGATTGTTAGTAATTAAAAAACGGTCGTAGGTAAAGTAGTGTACGCAACTCGCGTTAACGCTACTATTACCGCTAGCGTTTGATAATTTTAAGCTTTTAATAATAATAAGCATTTAATTATTGCATTTTTTTACATAATTTTGTTTAATTGCACCATTGCACTTTACATAATAAAGAATTATCTTTAGTGAGTTTTATTCCCAACTACTCGTTCACAAATCAGAGCTTATTTGTATTATTTGAGCTATCGAGAATGAGTGAAAATGCAACTTAGCAGAATCCTTGTAACATACGTCAATGAGAACTTTGTAAATGTAACGTTTGAAACTGCGCTCAAATGTTGATGGTTATTGACAGGTTACATTCAAAAATAAGCCTTCAACAGAGTTTTTTTTGTAACAAGTACTCCATTTTCTTTTTATGGGTAGCCTATTATTTTCACGTTTCCTAATTGAAAATGTGACGTGGCTACATGAAAAACTGGATCTAAAATGTTAAAACAATAGAGCCAATATAAAAATAATATTCATTTTCTTATTGAAAAAGTATTATCTCCTGGTATGAAAAAGTAATAAGGTTTGTTTTAATAAAAAAAATAATTTATACTAGCATATAAAAACAGAAACATTGCGTAAAGATAAAACTGTAAGTAGTTTGAATATGGTACAATATGATGATGAGCTTTATAACATATAATTAGAAAAACAACCTTACATACATTTAATAACAAGTCAAATGTTTTAAAACGAACTATTTGGACATTTCCTATTCAATTAAATCATTATCATGTAAAATAAATAAATGTCTAATGATCGTGGATTCACTCAACTTTGTATTTGATTTACATATTCAGACATTCTTCATTGATGACGTAGGCTATGTGAAAACGTTATGTATTAGAGCATTAGAATGACTTAAAAATGTTAAGAGAGAATGCAAACTGGTTAAGGTTGAAGTAATTGAAACATATTGGTTTCAAAAGTAGGTATAAAGTAAATATTTTATTTCACCTAAGCCTTTTAAGCCAAAAATATTATTTTATTACATTTAGCGTAAGAATGAAAACCTTAACTCATAGTTAAACATCGTCTAAAGTACGTTAATTATTGATTTTGTTCGTAACATATAATGTACTTCCACGGGTTGTATTATATTTTCTTCTAAGAATGTTCTAACAGAAAGTCTGCCATTATTCAACTCGTATTTTTCTTCAATATCATGAGTCATGCCGACATGATAAATGGAGGCATCTTCCGGGTGCTGCTACGTCCATGCAGAGAAACTGTTAGTTGATTAGGGTAATCAGCAAGGCTTAACGTTGTACCAGGATTTAGCAGAGATAATTAAGTGGCCCCGTTTGTATTTTCGTTTAAAATACGTAAAAAAGAAATAAAATACTTATATAAACTATAAATAAATAATTCGTTAGGGCTTAAAATAAAAGATAATTTTTTTCTGTAACACCATTACACTATACAAAGTGTTGTACAATGACAGCTTGGTCTTAATTTGCCTGGCTTGGACAACTAAAATTGTGATATTTTAGCTATGTTTATGAGATCATTTTCATCTTAATTTCGTTTGATAAAATATGTTTAAAGCCAAATAAAAGTGTGCTTGAAAATAAAATAGTAAAACACATAAAAACTGCCATTTTTTGCAATTTTCTAATTTTGTTTACCTTTACAAGCAGTCTTCTTATTCCATTGTAAAATAAGTTGTATGTTTTTATGTTTGTTTGAAGTTGGTGACTTTTGAGCGCTTATATTGACTGAATGTTTTTTCGTGCTAGGGTGTTTTATGATTGAATATGATTAAATATGATTCGTGTTTTATTCTCCGGGTATTATAAAACTAGAGGAGAAAATTAATTGTTTTAATTGTATAGGTTTTGCTAATTCAAAAACATTTAAATACCAAGATACAAAAATAGAACAAAGGTCTGAAGAACAATTTATTTATCATAAAAAGCAAAGTGAATCGCTCCGTCATCGCCACTGTAAACAAGTCATTCTATCATAATCTTTATCCGCCTAATACCACAAAGTCGATTTTATGTTTCCTTTGAATGAGTCTGCGTTTCCTCCCCCCCCCCCCCCGAACTCTGAAATTCCCTGATATCCGCCCGTATTTGATATTGTAATTTATTAACTTTTATATTTTATTGTTTTGGTTCAAACTAATGTCACATTACACTATTACTGTAATAACAATTATTATTGTACGTCTTTTTACTAGTTTACGTAATTTGTTAGTGTTTATTAGGTAAGTATTTTATAGGGGGATTTACCAGACATTTTTACTTTACACATCCGTTTCATTTACTTTATATGTTGCATAGAGAAGGAATGTCGTATACCTTTATCCTACTAATATTATAAATGAGAAGGTTTGGATGTATGTATGTTTGTGACAAGTAAACGCGAAAAATACTGGTCGGATTGGGGTAAAATTTGGTGTGATGATAGATCACATTCCCGATTAACATATGGACGCATTCTTATCTCAAAAGCCCTTTCGGGCTCAGCCCCAGTGGCTCTGGAGATTCCCATGTTAACCTTATGAGTTAACCTTATCTTTTAAAGGAATAAAAGAATTCGTCAGCTATTTCAACTACACAAGTTGGTTCTATGTTATTAAATAGCCTTAAAAAGTTATTAAGGTTTACCAACAGGGTGCAATTCTACTGTTTTTTTTACAGCGTTGGTGGATGCGTAACTATTTTATACAAAAAATGTAAATATAAAAATGTTTCTATTTATTTTGTGTCTTCTTTCCGTTGCAAATCACGGGTACAACAGCTAGTATGTATATATAAACAGAAAGGCATACACTTTAGTACCGGCAGGTTATTGATTAAAATGTAAGAAATATATCACATAAAAATACACAATTTTCTGCTTGTTTAAAATTGTACAAGGTATAGCTTTTGGGAAATTTATTATGTTTATAATGTTATGTTTATGTTATGGTTTAGGTTATGGTGTTTATGGTTATGTTTATATGTGGAGTGAATGTGTGAAATGGTTCAGATTATCCCTCAGTTGAGTTTATCCATGTTGTAAACCCAAAGAGTTCCAAGTTTACGATTGACACATCATTATTGATTTTCAGAAGACTAAGTGCCGAACCAACCACAACCACGGTGATAGAGAACGAGAGACTGAGAGCCACTTCAGAATCTGTCGGGGGCGCCACCTCGCCGCGGGGCAACCATGTGGGGCTCCCCGCGGCGCCCCCGCCTGCACCCATCGCCTCCCCAGAACAGGTGGGCTTGAGTTAAACGGTTACAACCACCATTACAGTAGGCATGTTTAAACCAAACTGAATATATGTAAGAAAAATGTCACACACTGCTAAAAGGTTGCACCACATAATCCAGTGTCATTTGGTTCTCCATTAGTCGCCTCCGTCTGCTCCAATCGCATACCACTAATACTGTAGGTGGGTTTTGGCAAGATACTAACAACGTCTGTTATCTTCAAGAAGAACTGGTAATATTGGAATAATTAAAATTTAGAATAAAAACATAACCAATATTTTACGAATTTTTAATTTACTTTAATATTATATTTTAATTTTAATAAAATTACAAATTTATAAAATATTGGTGATTTTTTTATTTTAAAAATCTTAAAATCTGTTATATTCTGAATGCTAAGTATATTTCATTTGGGATAGAAAACTTTTCGAGGAAGTTAAGTGGGTCCCTAAGAGTCCACCTATACCTATCAACGTCCCAGAACAGGTGCAACTATAATGATTGTGAATACGCACTTCACAATCTGTTTTCATTTTCAGCCCAAGAGCTGAGTAAAAAGAGCAATATGTGTTTCGAATATATCATAAGCTTACGAATGTTTATTATATACTTAGTAGAGCCTAAAAGATATTCTAATAACTGTTTAGGGCACCTCGAAGCCTTTATTAGCTTAAAAATACAAAACCTATCGCTTTTCAACACTAGAAGCGTTTTGTAGACTTCTGAGAGCTCCACATTTTTATAGAAACTACAGACTACGCCCCACCACATGTGGACTCACTTGATTCGCTGGTTGTGAAAAGAGTACATTTTACTTCCATGATCGTTAGTACTTTAGTCACATGCTAAACGGATTATTCTAACAATTTCTTAGGAAAAGGTCAGATATTAGACTTACCTTAGCCACATCATTCTCATTGGAATTACATATATGAGACAGGGGAGATCTATATGCTATTTGAATTTTTAAACTAATAGTGGACATATTGTGTTTGACGAGAATAGAAGAGTTCAAAACAATTGGATTGACATGAACATATTAGTTATGTGCCCAGAACCTCATTTCCCATTGAAGTATTTAGAGAGTATTTTGAATTTTAGTAATGCTATTGTATGCAGTCCCTGAGGTCCCGGGTTCGATCCCCGCCAAGTCACCAATGGATTTTATCTAAGTGATAATGCCGCAACCCCTAGGTCTAGCCTGAAGTAATGTGAAAAACAATCCCAGGCTCGTGCCTAGCGTCCTTAGGAAAAAAAAAATAAAAAATAAAATTGTATGCACATCACAAATTTTGTACAAGTTTAATGAAAATAGCTACGTTCTTCATAACTTAGGGGATGGGACGAACTGGACGAACTTGTAACGTGAATATGAATTCATTTTGATGTGTGAATTCACAATACTTTATGTTCATTGTAGCATTTAAAAGTTTGAAAGATTGCGAGTATTTTTTACGGATCAGTAAAATCTCAATAATAGTTCATATATGTCTAGACACATTTAAATACTACACGGAACATTAAATTTAAAATCAATGATGTTTGTCAATAAGAGGGCAAAAAAAATCTTTAGCTAAACTACAAGTCAAACCCTGTTCTCGTCTTGATATTTGGTGTAATTCAAAATGGCCATCTGATTTCTGAATCTCCTTCATAATTTTCTGCCTGTACTTAAAAAATCACTACTTTTAATTTTACAAATAAAAGTTTTTTGTTGTACTATCTAAGCGTGAACCGCAGGGGGCTCACGCTTGCGTGGGTTCGTGGCCTGGGCGACCACGCGGACCCTAGCTCTCCCAGAGGGGAGGTAACTGCCCGGTGTCAGACCCGGCACTTCAGGTAGACCACAGTTATGGACGACTGGTAAGCGCCAGCCCCTTAGGGGGAGCCTCCAGTGACACTCCCTCCATTCAGGGTGGGGGGGGGGGGTGTTTAGCTCTCAGTGACGCCGTTAATTCCGCCTCTCCTCATCTACCTGTAACTGTGGTTGTGACTGAGTCCTACCTGTTGTGTTCGACTGACATTTTGTGAGGCATATCCTCGACTTTGGAAGTAGCCTCGTCCTGGGAGGTGAAATACCTAGCCCCCAGAGGGGAGGTAAATGCTCCGTGTTGGTATCGGCATTTTCAAGTTGGCCACAGACATGGACGACTGGGCATCGGGTCCCAGTGACATTCCTTTATCCAGGATGGAGGGGTGTTTAGCTCTAGGAGAGATGGAAGTACATCATAATCTCTAACCTACCTGTGTCTGTGGTTCTTTGGGCTTCGGCCTGCTTGTTGTGTGCGACCAGCATTCAGTGGGCAAATCCTCGACTTTGGAAGTAACCTTTCCTGGAGGTGAAAACGGGCAAGTACCCGCAGCTCACGGGGACACTCAAGGGCAACGTAACTTTCCGCAGTGTGAGGGCAACGGTTTGTAGGTACTTATGCAAACCAATCCCTGTCTCTGAGCACGGACGGTATGGTTATCTTGAGTGTGGGGGGTTCTTCCCGGAACCTCAATTGAGTCAAGGGTGTCGCCACCTCTGGTGGATAGGTTCATCCGGGTGGGTCCCACTTCTATACCTGCCTCCTTTTGGGAAACCCTGATGGCCTGGCAGTGATGTTGGGTCTGACGGGCAAACGAAGTAGATCGGGTGCTGGGTCCGAGCCCGCCAGGGGTATCTGGGGATCTATCGCTCTGGTTATCTCTGGTTTCCCAGCAATGGGTAAGGCCTCGATCGGGCAGCGGTGTAAATGGGAGGTTGGGGTTCCCCCCGTCAGCGTGCTGATGGTCCCCTTCCTCCTGGCTATTGATGGCGGGTTCTGCCTGTCAGGGATTAGATAGGTCCCGAGTGTTGCTTGCACTAAATGCGTCGGGGCGCTCTACTATGGACCTCTAGGTTCCGACCTGGTGGAACCCAGGTGGAGTGACGCTTAAACAAGCAGCCGGAATCCCTGGTTAGGATTGAGGGGCAACCCTCTTTCCGAAGGGTCTGCTTCGGCAGCCGGCGAGCCTGATGACCTTAAGTCATCCGCCCATGATGTGCTAAAGGTTGATGCGTAAGCTTCGGCCTACATCATGGGGCCCGGGTATGTCCTGAAGGATAGGTACCGGGTAAGCAGTCAGGGGGCTTCGGCTCTCATGACAACAAATGTAAAATGTAAAATGTAAAAAAAATGTACTATCTATACCTACTAAACAACACCAAAATATGACCATCCATGAACGATGTTAAGCATTGATTTTCAATAGGTGCTAAAACAAGCAAATGCGCATTTGCAACGAGTCAACCCATACTGTTATCAGAAGTAACAGCTATTATCAGTAATGTAGGTTGAGTGGTGGGTTAGGAGGGAGCGTTATGTCACCACTGATCACTTTAACGGTTGTCCATCCAGTCATATGTAACGGTTGGTCTGTTTGTCGTAACATATGTTCTACCAACGCCGATGTAAAGTGAATATTCCCGTTTATGGTCTTCCTACGAACACTTGACTTTTAGATAAGTTAGTAGTTTCTGTCTTGGCAAAATATGTTCAGACAAAAATAGAAACTGGTGCTTATTTATTGTTTACAAACTACAACATATTTTATATTGCATGTAGGGTACACTTAAGGACGTGTAGGCACGTTTAAGAAACTGTTCATACTACCAGTACTTGAATCCAAACTGTAATTTAGGATTTTCTTTAAACTAAAGCTTTACATACAATAATGTTTATTTTTTAATTGCCGATAGCTACCACTAACATAAAAATAAATATTATTACTGCGCAATAGGAAAGTACTTGGCTCAGGATAGTACTTATATTTATCTTCGTATTTAGAATGAATAAACTGTCAAATGATACAACAAAATCAAACTGTCAACTACCTTAACAAAATGAACGATGCTTCATTTTGTTTTAGAAATAAATAGATTTACTTACAGTTAAGTGAGACTCTTTGCACAGTAATACACGTAATACAAAGATATTTATCTGATAAATAGCATTATGTGTTAAACATTGTTAAACGAATGATACATTATTTGAGACCTTTCTACTTTAAGTCCAGCCTACGAAGGCAAACCAGAAAAGAAAGTAAAAGGTTTTCGACTTCGTAAAATATATTAGTATTATCATTATAATACTATTCTATACAATTTTACATTGCCAGGACTGAGTTATTATTATGCCAGGATTGTGGATAGTTATAGGTATGCACTGTGGATGGGATACTCCCTGGTGTGGATTAACGTCCGCAGTACTATCTTGATAATTAGACCAATTCGTATATACCAAGGAAAAAAGTGGTTCGGATTCCACTATAAACTGTAGGTCCCTTAGTTGCCATTAGCTGTTTGGGCTATTAATTAACAGGTGTGTCTAAGGAATGTCGGCCTTAGTCACTAACAAGACTACAAGATCGCGCCACTCATCCTACACTCATCTCCATTCATACTTGGCTTAAAATACCTACATTGTATGGTCGCCATTTCATAAGAAAGTATAAAGTAAAAGTATAAGTATAAGTTATATAACCATTTTGGAGAAAAAATAGTGAAAAATTACTGCAAAGTTGATTTTAATCAAAAGCTTCCAAATATTCATTTAAGAATATTAATTTGAAAAACATAAAGTAGCAAAACACTTATAATGCTAAGAAAATTGTTCCTACAAGGTTTCTAAAGATAAAATAAAAATAGCAAGCGAAAAAAGAGCAATAAAAAAGGGGATACATAAGTTTTCAAAATTGAATAATTGTTGAATTTCAAAAATATATTATGTGCATTAAACTGAAAAACTACAATAGAAACCTTTTTCCCTGATTAAGTGAACTATCTGGTAAATCACGTATGCCAAAGAGCTCTTTGTGAAGAACCAACGATTGTTTCGATTGTAGACTATTTTAGTGGAGAGCGCCATCGAGAAAAAACTAAAACGATCCCAGGTAGGCCTAGACTTGGCAGAGGCGTTTCGATTGTTCCTTGAAATACACTCTTTTTATCGATTGGAAGTCTTTGTTAAAACTCGTTTTAT